GATCACACTACCTTGTTTCTTACGACCCGCCCTTCTCTGCTTCTTATTGGCTAGTAGTTCTTACCTGGAAACTGCGCATGTACAACTCCCAACAAAGATTTTGTATAAGTAAGATGCATCACTCTGTAGCTCAAGAGCGGCGCGTACAACACATAGGGTGAAAAGAGGAGCTGCAGCAATGTACAATATGAGAAAAATATGGTGTTTTTTAAAAAATTAAACCATGTAAACCTGTTCTGGTACAACCCCTAATTAAGATTTTGACCCTGAAAATGAGCATAATACCGCCTCTTTAAAGTGTGTGGATTTGTGGTGAGAGTTCTGCCTGATCAGTAGTGTTTTCGGTTGGTTTCGGGTTCACATGCAACATGCAGTCCCAAACTGTGATCTAAGAAAACAATAGATTGACTCAATTGAACACAGTGGCTCCGGGTTGTTTTGCAGAATTGTGTGTATTCGTGTGCTTAACTACTGTAAAGCTTTTCCCTTTTGGGATTGAAGAGGGTTTCTGTTTATTGCTGCAGAAGGTGTTGCAAAGACAGACATCCTGCAGCATGTACTCACCATAGACTGTATATAAAAGGTACTCACGCATTAAATTTTTTACAGTTAATACAGTTTTGTACCCCATATTAATCATCCCAAATCCATTTCAACCCAAAACATACCAGTGTACTTTCTGTACTCCAATAATACCTGTCTCCATGTTTTTTGTGTGATGATTTGTGATAAACTGAATGAATTAAGTTATTGCCACATGGAGAAAGTGGGCGCTTTGGGGCATCTAAAATGTTGGGTCCCACTTTGCCCGGCTGGTAATTAATCTTTGGGAATATATTTGGGGATATTTTAAGATTTGAGGGTTCTTTTTGGTAAAAACTACAAATCAGAGAGTGTTACTGGACTGTTAGTTGTATCATTAAATGTGAGTTTAAAGGAATGGTTTATTATCTCATTTCTGTCCCTGATTGACATGTTATGTCTTCTGTGTTTAATCCATTCAAAAATCTAAGTGTAAAGCGACATGTTGCTGACTATTTGCAATCAGTAAGCTTTGGAGGTGCTAGTTTTAAAGATTTTGTTAGATTTGGACAGAGGCATTCTAGCTGTTTCCCCTGTTTCCACTCTTTGTGCTAAACTAAGCTAACTGGTTGTATCTTCACATTTAACACATGAGAGCGTGGTATTAATCTAATAATCTAGCGTTAATGTTTGGCAGGAATGTGATTAAGTGTATTTCCCAGATAATAATTTAATGAACACTTTTAGGTTTTACCCCGCGTCCCGACCCCAGTTAAGCAGATGAAGATGGATGGATGGACTTTTACATTTTAATTGTAGACTACATATGTTCATTGAACGATGAAAGAAACTTAGATTTACTAAAGTAAGAGTAGCAATGCCACAGTCTAGAAGAGTATTAACATCAAACTTTACTTAAAGTACCAAATGTAAAAGTACTCATCATTCAAAGTGGCCCGTTTGAGAGTAATGCATATTCTATAATTGGATTAAAATTATTGGATGCATTAATGTGTACATCACTTTAATGTTGCAGCTATTAAATGTGGGGCTAATTTAATAACTTTAGACAAGATACTGCTGGGTAGTTTGTGAATTGGTATTCACATTGGGATTGGTAAATGTCTTCACCTAAAATAGTACAAATTTGATTACAATTTGTATCATTCATCTGATATGATATGATATATATATATATATATATATATATATATGCATTTAACCCATCCTAGAATGAATCTGCAATCCAATGAGGTTAGCTAATTTGGAATGGGAGCAATTGTGTAGCACCCATGGAGCAGTTAGGGGGTCCAGGGCCTTGCTAATGCTGCACCAATAGGAACACGCCCAACGTGGGGCTCGAACCCACGACCCTGAGATTAAGAGTCTCATGCTCTACCGACTGAGCTAGCCGGGCAATGTAATCCTGGCTGGCAGCCCTAACATTCACACACAACCTGTACCCCATGTAATAGTGATCTGTCAATTCATTTAGTAAGGCTATTGCTCTAGATAATAAGCTAGTTGGCCCTAAAATTCTCACTCAACCTATAATTCCATGTGGTTAGCTAATTAACTCTTATTTAGTAAGGAAGAAGATAGTAAGCTAGTTGATAATTAACTTTATTGTGAGATACAAATATTGTATGGGCCAAACATCCCAGAATGCCCAATTTGGGCCTCTTCATTATGGATATAACCCATCCTAGAATGGGAGCAATTGTGTAGCACCCATGCAGCAGTTACGGGGTCCAGGGCCTTGCTAATGCTGCACCAATAGAAACACGCCCAACGTGGGGCTCGAACCCACGACCCTGAGATTAAGAGTCTCATGCTCTACCGACTGAGCTAGCCGGGCCACGTCACCCTAACTGTCAGCCCTAACATTCACACACAACCTGTACCCCATGTAATAGTGATCTGTCAACTCTGACTTAGTAAGGCTATTGCTCTAGATAATAAGCTAGTTGGCCCTAAAATTCTCACTCAACCTATAATTCCATGTGGTTAGCTAATTAACTCTTATTTAGTAAGGAAGAAGATGGTAAGCTAGTTAATAATCAACTTTATTGTCACATACAAATATTGTATGGGCCAGACATCCCAGAATGCTCAATATGGGCCTCTGCATTTGTAAAGCAATTGTATGAGGGGCCATACAAGCCATAATCTATTCTGGACCGCTCACATAACTTTATTCTTCTTTTATATACATACATTTTCACTCTCACATACATATATTCTCCTTTCACATACAGATATTTTCTTTACACATTCACATATTTTCCTTCACACATTCATACATTTTCACTCTCATGTTCATATATTTTACTGCACACATTCACACATTTTGCTCATGCACATGCAGTTAATGTGTACAATTAACATTATATATAATATATGCATGTAAGAGAAGAATATATGTATGTAAGAGAAGAATATATGCATGTAAGAGAAGAATATATGCATGTAAGAGAAGAATATATGTATGCAAGTCAAAAGTATAGTGGAAACGGAAGGTAGGACATTTACCGTGCAGCGATTGGCTGAGAAGTTTGAGTAAGGTCTGAGGGGAGGAGGCAACAAGAACATGATTGACATCTGCAGACAGCATGAAAATCTTCCCGAACCAGCCATCCTCTCGTCAGCTCTGATGTAAGTCTGTTTCTCTCTGCTGCTATTTTCTCACATAGAACCAAGCGGGGTTACAGGTCCGCTGGAACTAAAGTTAATGTTTGCCAATACATGGCAGCTAACGTTAGACTCCATGTGAACACAAAACTGCAGAGAGAAACAGGCTTTTGAATTCCAGTTAAAATATTGTAAACCATTTCCTGCTTGCAGCAAAAAATCTCAGACCACAGCTGTGTTCTGCAAAGACAAGCCCCCATCGCTGCCAAGAGGTTCTCATATCATGCAGAAAACAGCAGCAGTGTGGAAACTCAATGCCCCCTTAATAGGGACCTGTCACTAGGGGGTGGGTAGTACTCCATACAAGTAAGGCAAATTAGTAAAGTTGTTTTAGGAATTGTAACTTTTGCGTTCCTTTTTATAACTTCACAACTACTCTGTGACCTGTGCACTTTGGTGTATTAACCAAAATGTGCAGCCATCCAAGCTGTGCGCACAGTTACGCAATAGAGCTTAAACCAGTGCACCTGTGGTACACCAGATATTAATGAACTGGACAGAAAATCAGGAATTTGAGAATAGAACGTCATCCATGAAACTGATCTTTGCTTTCACGCAGTGTTTATTTATTCAGGAAACAAAATTTTGGGGAAAGAGGGAGAGAGCAAAATGACTGACAGGAGAATTATAGGCTAACGTTAGTTAACAATTAACATGTATCATCCTGATGGCGTTTAACATTATGTAAGTTAGCTGCTAGCTAATATCCACAATTTGTTAGCGCAGCTAAAGTAACTTAAGAAGAAAAAAAGTTGCTCAGAGTTACAGAGTAAAGCTGATGATACACGGAGCAACTTTGAGAGCAATCGTGCTGGGCAACGTTGCCGTCAGTGATAATGAGTAAAGATTACAACCGTAATCCCCTTCCCCCACCACTACACCACCCACCCCGCACCGCCGCTATCCGTTCAAAACATAGTTGGACTTGTTCAAAAAGTTGTCCCGTGTATCATCAGCTTTACTATTCCATTACCGAAGACATAGCATAATTTTTGAACTTATCGTGAGCTGTCACCTAATTTATTAGCAAACATTAGCGCTAATGTTAGTTGCAGCTGGCTTCTGCCAGACCAGCACAACGTTGATTAAAAGTTAGTTAACTCTAACCCAGCCCGGTTCTATGTGAGAAAACAGCAGCAGAGAGAAGCAGACCTAACTTGCTATTTAGGAGTTCCTGGTGAACTTGTGGAAGCCATAACTTCAGCTACCTTCCGTTTTCACTATACTCCTTCCTTTTCCAATATACTTTTGACTCACACATACATATATTCTTTTCTTAAATGCATATATTCTTCTCTTGCATACTCTTCTCTTGCATACTTATATTCTTCTCTTACATGCATATATTATATTTAATGTTAAATGTACACATTAACTGCACGTGCATGAGCAAAATATATGAATGTGTGCATTTATATATGAATATGAGAGTGAAAATGTTTGAGGGAAAATATATGTATGTGAAAATGAAAATGTATGAATGTGTGAGTGAAAATGTATGAATGTTTGAGTGAAAATGTATGAATGTGTGAGGGAAGATGTATGAATGTGTGAGGGAAAATGTATGAATGTGTGAGGGAAAATGTATGAATATGAGAGGGAAAATGTATGAATGTGTGAGGGAAAATGTATGAATATGAGAGGGAAAATGTATGAATGTGTGAGGGAAAATGTATGAATATGAGAGGGAAAATGTATGAATGTGTGAGGGAAAATGTATGAATGTGTGAGGGAAAATGTATGAATATGAGAGGGAAAATGTATGAATGTGTGAGGGAAAATGTATGAATATGAGAGGGAAAATGTATGAATGTGTGAGGGAAAATGTATGAATATGAGAGGGAAAATGTATGAATATGAGAGTGAAAATGTATCATTATGACAGTGAAAATGTATGAATGTGTGAAGAAAATATATGTATGTGAAAGGAGAATGTATGTAGATAAAAGGAGAATATATGTATGTGAGAGTGAAACTGTATGAATTTGTGAATGAAAATATATTTATGTGAAAGGAGAATTAAGTTATTTGAGAGGTCCAGAATAGATTATGGCTTGTATGGCCCCTCATACAATTGTATAGCACCCATGGAGCGGTTAGGGATCCATGGCCTTGCTAATGCTGCCTTAAAATAGAAACGCGCCCAACGTGGGGCTCGAACCCACGACCCTGAGATTAAGAGTCTCATGCTCTACCGACTGAGCTAGCCGGGCGACAGAAATGGGCTTTTTTGTACTTGAGTAGTGTATAGTTTTCACCAGACTGCCGCTGAGTAGGTTGTCATGGTTGACACGTGGCTACTTGATGCGATGAAGTCATTTGAAACAGGAATACAGGCGGTCCGTGAACGCAGCGACCCGATGAGCTCTGTCACCGGCAGGTTGTGCTCCTGACCCCCGACCACAGACACGCCCAGATGTGATTCAGAAACAAGTTTACAGTGGTGAGCTCATAGCCTACCAAAGACAACTTTCAAAACAGAAATGGGGACGCAGGACTCTTCTGGGAGCAAATATTGTCCTTTCTGCCAAATAGCGAACAGCCAGGCTGACACAGAAATCCTGCTCAGCGTAAGTACTGACTGCTTGTTTTAAGAGTTCATCAATGGACTCCTGACATGTCTCTTCCTCTGTCTTGACAGAATGACGAGCTACTTTGTTTTCGTGACATGAAGCCTGGCGCCACACACCACTACCTCGTTGTCACCAGGACGCACATCGACAACTGCAAACGTCTCCAGGAGGACGACCTACCTCTAGGTGAGGGAGACCCGCACTTAAAGCAGGGATTTGGTCTGTCTTGATGTTACTGTAAATCATATGTGAACAAAGCCTGGATGTGTTCTTACTTTACACCATGACGCCATTCGTTGTCTCTGATAATGCATACAGTCATATGAGTAAACTGTCCTGGGGGAATAACCTGAACTCTGAGCTCTCTTTAAACACAGATATAAACTTTATAACTATCCACTTAATTTTCTAATAACTCAATATCCAATGGTGGAATATAAGTAGCTTACATTTATCCAAGTACTGCACTTAAGTACATTTGTATTTCATTTGAGTATTATTTTATTATACTTTATAAACTTTCTATTTCTACTCCACTACTTTTTGGAAGCTAATATTGTACTTTTTACTCCACTATTGTAGGTGCCTTATTGTGGTTTAAGATACCCAGCTGTATGTAGAGTAGTAGAAATTAGCCCCACCTTTTCCAGCTGCAACATTAAAGTGATTTAGGCTACACATTAATGTATTATAATCTAGTGATATTATTTTTGAAATGGGCCTTTCTGCATGATGAGTACTTTTGCTTTTTGCAAGTATATTTTAAGGCTAATACATCTTTGTGAATGCAGGACTTTTACTTATAACAGGGTATTCTTACACTGTGGTAACAGTACTTTTCTTGCTTGTCGCAGTTCCGTGGCAACATTTCAGTTTCTAAAATCCTTATTGAAAACCAAAGGTGTACCTGAGATACTGCTGTGTCTTTATGGACTTGTCCTTATGGAGTGTAATGTTGTTTTTTAGGCTGAATGACATGGCCATATTGATGTAATGTGTTTGTTGACAGTGGAGCGGATGGTGGATATGGGAATGAGGATACTGGAGAAGAATAAAGTCAGTGACCTAGATGACGTCAGGTAAGTCACTTTCCTGAGATGCTTCACCTTAATGTGAATGTTTTGTTTGTAATCATTTATTTGCAAAACCATTTCACCGTTTGTTTTTCATTGAATCTGTGCAGGATGGGGTTTCACCTGCCTCCATTCTCATCTGTCCCCCACCTCCACCTCCACGCTCTGGCTCCAGCCAGTAAGATGAACTTCAGGTCGCTGCTTCACTACGGGCCGCAGTCTCACTGGTTCATCACAGTGAGTGATGTCTTGGATGTGTCACGGGTTGTGGTGGTGAGGCAGAGCAGGTTGGAGGACCCAAATGCAGGACACGTAGACTGGAAGTTACAGTTCAGTGATAATTTAATATAAACACAAGGCGAGCACACTTACAAGAACTGCTGAGTTCAGGTGATCCAACATAACACAGTCCAATACACAAAGCTAAACAGAGAACACAAGACCAGGAGTAAACACTAAAGACATGAACTAAAGTACTGGACTAAGAACAAAGACATGGAACCAAAATCAAAACACCGAGAAGGCATGGCCAAAATAATAAAACACAGACAAGCTCAGGACAGGATTGTGACAGGATGGCTATGTATGGAGACTGCAGTGTGCCAAATCATTTTTTAGACGTTTTTTTAGCTGCATAACATTATTGATTAATTATTTATTAGTCATTAAAAGAAAACATATTAATTAAATAAACAATATAAGTATTTTGGTACATTTTGCAATTGCATAACGCTTCAGTAAAAATATGAAAATGTCTGTGTGTTCTTTAATTAAGATTATTTTAAATTAAATGTTTAAATGGACATGTCAAATGATGTTTGTAATGTTCATTACTGTCCAAATGAATTTAAAGAGGCGTCTTTTGTTTAATTTTCTCAGTCAATTAATTAATCCAAGTTATTATCCATTAATTAAGTGATTATAAATGGAGTTATATTATTATATGTATATATGTTATATTTACTCCTGCCTCTCTATAGCAAAGCCTTAAATCTTTCAAAATCAGAAATGAGCCACTTTTCTTCTTGCTGTATGTCTGTTGGGCACACTGTACAAATGTTTTTTTTTATATATTTATAAATGTAACTTGTAAGCATTTTGAATCACTATGAAACTGAACTAAAATACTGTGAATACTCTATAAGTTCCTTGTTGTGCTCTGTTACAGGTAGACAAAGTGCTCTCTCAGCTGAAGACCCGAGGCAAGGTCAAATGAAGCGGCATGAGAGTCTGAAAGTGTCATCTTTTATGCCAACAAGCTATTTCTTTCATGTCATTTTGCCTCACTGAGTGCAATTTCAAATCAGTTTTCCATCTGACTTGATATTTTTGTGTTAATGACTTATAATGATGTATAAGTAGTTCATGCTGCTTGCTAATTTTAGTTGTGGAGAAAAGTGGGAAAAGGGCTCTTTCGGTGGAAGCAAGTCCCTTTCAATGAACTTTTTTTTTAAAGTCCTATCAAATGACCTTTACATTTCCCGTGATTGAATACTGACTATGGCTGACTGTAAAAGCAGTTACGTCTGGCTGTGAAGGTAATAATGATGCTGTGTGTGATGTGTGTGCACAGACAGTGAAATACTTTGGCAACACTGCAAACTTCGCTAAACATCTGAGATTAAGTCAAAATAATATGATGATGTTTATGAAGCAGCAATTCTGAGCAGGATATTTTCATTATAATTAAAGAATATGACGTAGTTTGATGTCTTGTCATTATGCAGCTATTATTTTGAATTGGTAAGGCTACAGACTACTCCTTATTTCTCTCATAAATACAGAAACGGGAGAGGGAGGTCACATTAAACTAGAAATAAAATATGTAAAAAGTATTGGTATCGGTATCGGCAATAACAGCCTGGGTATTACTTGGTATTGGATCGGATGGGAATTAAGTGGTATTGCACATCACTATTGGGTACCACCGCTTCATCAGTTTCTGAGGGGAAAACCTGCATTTAATAATTGAAAGAAAGAAAATAATTCCTCAATCACCCTACCTTATATGAAATGAGGAAGTAATATTGATTGAATTGGGTTTAAGAAATAATATTGATTAATAAATACATATTGATATAGTTAATGAAATTAAAACATAGCTTGTATATAATTCCATGCATAATTTAAAAATCTAATTTAACTTTTGTACTTTCATGAACAGACTGTTTAATAGGAATCACAATTGTCCTGTTTAAAACACCACATTTGTGTTTAGAAAGAATTTCTTGTAAACTGAGACTGAATGAAAACACACATAAGGTCTGTTCACCTTCTGGAATAAAACCCTGTAGAGGATGTAGAGTACAGAGCTGTCAGAGTATGTCAGGGTTTTTTTGCCCCTTGAACTGATAAACAGTTTAATTCTGACCCGGCCTCTGTCATGTCACTTCCTCTGTCCCTCCACTTGCTGTTGTGCTCCCCGGTTCTTGCGGGTTGTTAAGTGTCCGATAATGGATCCAGAGAATATTAGCTATGTCTGCCACAGGTGAACGCCGCAAGTTGCATCTGGCAAGCTGATCTATACTTGCTGATTTACTTTTACTTTCCGTTTGATTTTCACACCAGCTGTTGACAGACGGGTGACCTGGCAGGTGACGTTACATTCTTGACATTATACGTTGACGTGACGCTCCGGCTGCTGCGGTGTAGCCCCGCCCCCCTGCCGTCAACAACTGGATTCCAGCTATTTGTATTTTGGCCAACTAGCACTGCTAGCACTGCTAGCGATGAATCATTGCGTTCGTAGAAAAACGACTCAGCCAGTGTGCACGGACGTTTATTAATTTTTGTTCGCTTTAAACACACTCCATCGACATCTTGTGCCGATGTGCGGCCAATGCAAGCTAAAGGACCAAGCGGAGCGGAGAGATCGCCTTTCACACCGTCCTTTAGCCGCGCCTCTGAAACCAACTAGCACGGCTAACACTTTACGTTAGCTAGCTGGCTGACAGCTGCTTCGGTTAGCTACGTGCCTTTTAACAGTAACGTAGCAAAGATTTAGTCGCTGGAACAATGCATTGTCTCTGACATTGGTGAGTATAATTAGTGTGTCTTGACTTAGTAATATCGAGTCAGTCAATGTCATTTGTTTTTACTCGCTTCAGCGTTGCTTTGCGAGCTAACCTACTGGCTAACCATCGGCTTGTTTGTAGCAGCAGCAGCAGCTGCATGGAGCCACGCCTGGACTATTTAAATTAGCGTGTGCGACTGATAACATTAGCTGTTGTTTTGGGTGTAAACTACCTCACACTGTTAATTTTTATAGTATTTAATGTAATCCCACTGTTTTGGTTTACAGAGAGGACTGAGGCCCAGTTGGTTGTCACATTGGAGTAACCAGAGCCCTGAACTAAGAAGGGGGGTCTTTACGGTGGTGCCATCGAAGATAAGTGGGTGAGCCAACTTGCCGATGCACCCCTGGTTTTGACCTGCCAGAGCTGCCAATATGATGCCGGTAAGCGCAACATGTGATTAAGTTATTCATTTAGTCTTTCAAGATCAGTGTCTTCACAACTACTGATTGGACGGTCCACTTATGCACCAAATCAAACCTCTGTGCAAGGTGGAAATGGTCAGGTGTCATGCTCTCGACAGGAGTAGTTTTGAAGAAGGTGGTATGTTGTTCGAAAATAAGGCCCACCTAAATTTTATACTTTCTCTGTGGCATTTGGGGTTATTCATTCCCATGTGATGGTCATGTGGTTCCTGGGTCTAAAAATATCAAAGTAACAGATTGAGATGAAGAGCACAGTTTGATTCTCTGACTGTTGATACACTTACAAGTTGCAAGTTAAGCCCAATTTCCTTTCCCACCGCCACACAGCTAATCTGTAAGCGAGATCAGTTCCTAGAAATCATCCAAGATGTTATCTGTTTCACAGTATCTGCGGGACTTACACTTTTCATGTTTATGGTTACAATGACTGAAACGTTAGGAAAGAAAATGTTTTCCTTCAAGATGTACTGTAGTCAATGTTAGCAAACATGTGCAGTATCTAATTACACTACTGTATATCAGAAAGAGACAGGTTAACTTCACACCACTCCCTCTATAATAATAATAATGACATTTTTACTTAAAGCAGTAAGTACAGAAGGCTTTGTTACATGTCTAAACCAAGAGTTGTTTTAATTCTGTTGTTTTCCCTGGTGTTATTGTTCAAGATGCTTAGTGTTGCAAAGAATAAAATACCTGAAAGGCAACCCTATTGGAGTCCTGCTTTGTTGGGACCTCTTTTGTTATATTTAATGCTAAAAAATGCAGCGTAGGATTGTGGGAAAAGTGATTGATGCCCCATTTGGCCTTTGGGGATGTGGAACGTGAACTCAGATGGAGGATAAGTTTACCGTTGTTTCAGTCATTATAAATAGAAGTGATTCAGTCTTGGGCAGTTGTCTTTCCATGTCAGTGTCGCAGTAGCATTTTGTTTGAAGTCATTAAAACTAAAAAGCTTTACAGCACATCTTCAGAGAGGCGTTCAAAGTTTACATAACACACAGGAGTACATAGTAACAGAGATGTAACTCCATATTCACTGCAGCCGTCACAGGATTGACTGCGATGATGAGCCTCCATGGACGTTTGTACCCTGTGGCACCAGCAGGCTATCAGAGTCAAAGAGCCAGTCGAGCAGAGAGGGAGCCCTGCACCCGGGTCTCGCGTGACTCCAGCAGCCAATGAGAACTTGGCAGATCTAGGTCTGTGTGGCTACGTCGACTAATGCTCTGTTGTTAAGGGGAACTTTTGAGCTGAGTAGATTGTCAAGTGGCATTAATCTCACACGGTGGAGCTGGGCAGAGCGTGATTTACAGGAAATGTAAACATTGCATCGTATTGCCGCTTTGACCATTTTTGGAGGTTTAAAATGACATCAGTCAAGCCATCATAATTATCATAAAGCAAAAAAATTTCCCTAAACTCACTGTGATCAGGTGAAAATAGTAAGTCATTGATTTATTTAAGAACTCTCACCTGTTTCTCTTTTCTTATTGGTTGAAGAAGTATACATTATTAATTAGACTTTCTTAATGCCTTCCTCTAATGCACACTAGTCAGCTTTCAGTGAAAGGGACACACCCTTCTTTAAAACAGCACATTCAGTCTGGAAGTTGTCCGATATGTTCCCATGTTTCTGTTCAGATTAGTGTATTGTCTCAGTCTTTTCCAGACAACAGCAAAAACGTTTCCCGATTTAAAAATATGAAATATCAAAGGAGTGCTTGACAACTACTGGACACATAAACTCCACAAGATTAGTCTGTAATAGCAAAGCCAGTGTATTATCCAGCTTAACATCTTGGGGGAAAAAATCAATTTGCATCTGAAACATCTTGTGTGCACCAGTGTTCAAGTGCCCAGCTAAAGGAAAGATCATCTTATGCATGTGTAATAACAGGATTATTTTTAAGTTTTTGGACATCCTGGCTGGTCGTTTGATTATTTCACGGTATTTGTCTCATCATTACTTCATCTTTCCGTCATATGGTTCAGTGCCATTTCAGCCAGACGGGCAGTGTTTGGCACATTATGGCTGCATGAAATGTCTAGATTACATTATTTTTTTCCTATGCGCCATAAAGAATGTCTCACTGAATAGCTGTCTTTGGGTTTAGCTATGATTAAGCTATCTGGGTGCTTGTGTCTGACCAGATGATAAAGCAAAATCATGCCCAACACTGATCATAGTGTGTTTGTTTACGTAGTTGTCTCAAACATTTGGGCTTGTGTTTGGCTCGAATTATTTTGCCATAATGTGAGTATATACTTTTTGGGGGAGAAATCCATCCTTGTTTTATTATTATTATTGTTGTTGTTGTTATTATTATTTGTGGAAAGTCATTTCATGAAAAAAAAGCTCATGTGTGAAGTTAATGTGTGTGCTCTCAGGAAGAAATTTTCTGCCAGATCTTCCTTCTTCTTTGCGGGCACCTCTTTGAGAGTAAATGAGTGACAGGATCTTGACAGAAAATACTTTGAATCATCATGTTTGAATCATCCTGCTGAAGACCAGGCCAGCCAAGTGCCCCTCGTTCCCTCTCAGAAATTAAATGATAAATGTCCCTGTCTCCAGATGATGCCCACTGTAGCATTATGCGTCGGGCAAGAGGGGTACTGCATGCTTCCAATCATGTACAGCCAACATACATGATGGTGCCCT